GTAGGCAGAAGAAATTTGATTGTATTGGGTATTGGGTAATTTTTGGTTTGGCAAAAAATGGAATAGACGACTGCCTACCTTGCCCTTAGGGTAGTATCGCCCCTGATTGCAATCATTACGGTAATCTGAATTCATATAAAATATATTTTCAATAATTTATATAAAATAAATGTGTTGATGTGTTTCATGTGATTCATGAAGTATGCATGTTTCAAGCACAATATTTTTAAAGTTATCCAATAAATTAATAAATATTGCACCCTTTAGGTGTCGTCACTCAGACTCTCACTTGTATTTAAGGGAGCCCAAATTATGTTCATTAACATTCTGCCTTGTACACACATCGATCGCTACTTATACTTAATTCTGAGTATCACAACTGATAGACATGGCGCCTATGAAAGGTAAGGTTGAGACTGAAATAGAAATTAAGGCACCAGCTGAGAAGTTCTACAACATCTTCAAGAGCCGGGCACACCACGTCCCAAACATTTCTCCTGGCAGCATTCAAGGAGTTCAGGTGCATGAAGGAGACTGGAAAACACATGGCTCTATTAAGAGTTGGAATTACTCAGTAGGTAAGGTCATCTATATACATCTTACATGTAGCGGGTGTACATCTTTAATTTCCCTACCTAACAAAATACAATTATGTCTTGTGAAATAGGGGACGAAGTCGGGGTATTCAAGGAAAAGGTGGAGTACAACGATGAGAACAAGTCCATAACTCTGAATGGGGTGGAAGGAGATGTCTTCAAGTGTTTCAAAAGCTTTAAGCCTGTCTATCAATTCACTCAAAAGGATGAAGGCAGCATTGCGACCTTGTCGATTGCATATGAGAAATTGAATGACAATGTTGCAGCTCCAGACAAGTACGTTGGTTTGATGGTAAATATTGTCAAGGATCTTGATGCTCACTTTATCAAGGCATGAGGAAAAGCATGCAACGGTGAAAAGAGCTACGTACTGCTTGCTGGTTCATCGTTAAAGTTCATGAATTATATTATCGTGTTAATTAATGCGTGCTTTGTTTAATTACAAGTAGTTAAAAAATGCTTTGCTATGTATTTGTGTCAAGGGATGTCATATGTGATATTGTGATGCATTAACTATGGTTATCACATATATAAAATAAAATGAGTGGTGTGCTGATGGGTCCAGTTTTTGCTCATCATTCCTTATATCAACTACAAATAATAGTCTTAATACTTAACAATTATAACAAGTCAAAACCCAACTGGTTTGGACGAAAATGTTCAATTAACCATTTACCCTCAAGGACAAAAACTAAAAATATTTAATGTGATAGGAACTTCCATTACTTCGGTTTGCCAAAATACAATTGATGTTTCAACAAAAGAAAAGATTGATTGGTGTAATAGAATAAGTGGTGTGATGTGTCCAGTTTGTGCTCACCATTCGTTATATCAACTACAAATAGCCATAATACTTAACAATTAAAAAACACTGAAAAAAAAAATATCAATAAAATAATAATAAAAAGATTGGGGATAATTATGGGACAAAGCCAAAGTTGAATGAGAGTATTTTTACTCACCACTTTAACCCAAGGTGTACCATCACCACCATTCTCAACACTTGACACGTGTCTATTGACATAACTATGGTTCCATAAATACAAAGTAAAGAGTTAACTATAGTTATGCCAATAGACACGTGTCAAGTGTTGAGAAGGATGGTGAAGGTACACCTTAGGTTAAAGTGGTGAGCAAAAATATTTCTAAAGCTGAATAGCGGAGAAGTCTTCCAATTTTAGTTTGCAGTTTCCATCTAATGCATTATTTTTTTGCTTAATGGTGTGACTGGCACTCAAATAGCCACCACAAGTTCTAAGATTCGGTTGAAATATCCCACTTTGCATGTAATGCCTAAAAAATATTGTGGCGTTAATTAGTTGGATTAATCCAGGTCTTTGTGTACTCCCAAGCAGTCATGAGTCCAAGTTCTTAAGATAATCGTGTGTGTGAGTTTCCCCATCTCCTTCCTAACTTTGACAAAAAAATAAATACGAATGTTAAATTCTACGTTCTCAAAGTGGATTAGCTCCATTAATCAAGTTCACTGATGTACTCTAACTAAATTAAGAAATTAAATTTGGTAGGGTTTTGTTTGGGGTCCAAAATTTAGATTTGATGTATAGATAGTACAAGTATACCTACCATGTTAACCATTCTTAACCAATTTAATAAATCTGAGGACTCAAATTATGAGTCTGTATTGGAAGAAAAAACATTTTGAGTCCGGGCAATACATGAATAGTTGTATTTTAGAGAATGAAAATTTGAGTTTAGCCCCATTATGGTTGGAGATGACCTTACTTGTCTTCTCCGCATATATTGTGATAATTAGTAAATGTGTTTCATGTGTTTCGTGAGTTTCATGATGTGAGGCAAGCACCTGCTACCACTTAAAGTTATAATATAAAATATCATGCAATTTTACTGTAATGACTTGTATTTAAGGAGAAGCAAGTTATACGTTGTTCAACATTCTGCCTTATACATATCAAATTTCAAAACTGATAAGCATAAGCATGGCTCTTCACGGTTTTATTGGGACTCAAATAGAACTCAAGTCACCTGCTGATAAGTTCTACAAAATCTTCAAAGGCCAAGCCCACCTCATCCCAAATGTTTCTTCTGGCCATATCAAAGGCGTTCAGGTGCATGAAGGAGATTGGGAAACGCACGGCTCTGTTAAGATCTGGAATTATCATCTAGGTAATTAAGTAACTATGGTGACCCACTTAGGACAAGTTTAGTTATTTCCTGTTTCATTGTTTACTATGTCATATGGGTATGAAAAAAACATCATAAGATGAGCTTATATATATATTTTGTTGTTGTGAAATAAATGTGACAGGCGACGAAGTTGGGACATTCAAGGAAAAGGTCGAGTACGACGACGAGAACAAGGCGGCAACTCTGACCGGATTGGACGGAGAAATATTCAAGTATTATAAGAGCTTTAAGGGCATCTATCAGTTCGCCCAAAAGGGTAATGTTAGCGTTGCTAACCTGACGATTCACTATGAGAAAAGGAATGCTGATGTTGAAGCTCCAGATAGATATGTTGGTCTCATGGTTACCCTTGTCAAGGATCTTGATGCTCACTTTGCCAAGGCATAATCGAATATCAAAAGCATATATATATATATATATATATATATGTATGTATGTATGTTAATGCGTGCTTTGTCTGGTTAATATTATAAGTAATGCTTTGTTTTATGTAAGTTTTTCTTTGTGGCATGAAGGGATTTCATATGTGATATATTGTGATGTATTAGCTATGTGGGTTATGACATATATAAAATAAAATGCGTGGTGTGCTATATATATATCTCTCCAGTTCTTGCTCATCATTCATATATCAAGTACAAAATAGACTTAAAAATCAACAATATCCAAGTATATGTTGGGCGCTTGGATTCAAAGTACTTAAAAGATAATTTTTTTTTTTTTAAGTACGTTGCGTGCTTGGATTCGAATTTCACATTGAACGCTTAGCCTTGTAGATGAAAAAGACACAAGCTAAAAGTAGTAAAAAAGTAGAAGCAGCAGCTGGAAGCTCGTTTACCAAAATACAATTGATGTTTCAACAAAAGAAAAGATTGATTGATGTTATTGTCTGATAACTATGGTTATCACATATACAAAATAACATGAGAGGTGTGATTTGTCCAGTTTTTGCTCACCATTCGTTATATCAACTACAAATAGCCTTAATACTTAACAATTGAAAAACATTGAAAATAAAAATTGGGGATAATTATTGGACAAAGCCAAAGCTGAATTGCGGAGAAGTCTTCCAATTTTAGTTTGCAGTTTCCATCTAATGCATTATTTATTTGCTTCATGGTCTGATAACTATGGACTTGCAATTTCTATCTTGGAATTTATAGGCAAGAATGAATTGAATTGTGTGCAATATATATATATATATATATATATTGATTGTGTGTGAACAAGTTTTCCTTGATGTATTAACTCATCCAAAAGAATAAATTATGATCAGTATATTGTGCTACTCCTAAAATGGTGTCCTTTTTTATTTATTGTTTTTCTTGTTTTGCATTAACATAAATACCTTATTTATATTTAACCATACAATTTATCACTCAAATTTGCTATGAAGGCAAAGCTGAGTTATTGATGTATCTTCCAATATGGCCCGCTTGGTTTGCAGTACTTTTCATCTAGTGCAATTATTTTCTCCACCCATGCTGCTGGCATCGAGAAAGACCACAACTTTTGAGAATTGTTTGACATATTTTGCACACCGCCATGTCAAGTTTTGCATGAAAATCTCATGGCAGCCGCGGATCATTACCCCTTGGGGATTTGGCTGGTTGGATAGGAATGCCCCATGGTGTTTCTTGAAATTGACTGAACAAAGTGGAGTACTCACTCTGTGTTTGGTTCATGGAAATGAATTGATGAGAAATCAATTTCTATGTAGTTTTTCATGGAAAAGGAAATCGAAGATTCATTTTCTATGTTTGATGATGCTGGAAAAATAACTAAAAAATATCATTTTATTTCCTTTTCTATGTGTGGTTAGGGTATGAATTGAAAATACATTTTGTTTAGTTTTTCAATTATTTCTCTAAATCAAAAATCATATATATATATATATATTAAAAAGTGTAACTAATATTTGCTATGGTATTTTTAATTGTTAATAGTGGTAAATTGGTCATAAAAAGTTGTAATTAATGCTTGTCTTGGTTTCCCACAAGGAGGGAAAATGAAACCCAATATAAATGGAAGGTTTTATTTTCCCCCCCTATTTTCCCAAGCCAAGACTTACCAAACATGAGAAATCAAATAATTTCTCATTCCCAAGCTCCTTCTCCCATTAACCAAATGCAATAAATACGAAGGTTTCTACTTTCTTAAAGTTCATTAGCTCGAACCTACTAGAAAAACCTAATTGAGAAAACCCTAGCCTTCCTTCTCTCTCTCAAACCTCTTTTGATGTGTTCCAGGAAGTGGGGAGGAGGAGTCCTCTCTCCCTCTCTCTTTTCCTTACCTCCTCACTTATTTTCCCCTTCCTCATCTACTGGATTTGGGGTTTTAATTGTGGGGAGGTTACTTGTGTCTAGATCTTCTTGGATTTGTGGTTTTGTTGGTTGGTGTTTTAGTTGTAAGGTGACTGCCTGCAATCTCAGTGATGTTCTCTATCTCCAAGGTGGTCACGACGTCTGTGGTGGTGGTGGCTGATAAGTCCACAAATTTACACATTTATATACAATTATGGCAGTTAATAAAATGCTTAGAATAAATTATAAATAGAATATGAAGTCTGATGACAAGGATGTAAAAACATAGGAATACTACAACCTCTTATATCATACTAGTCATTTAAGTTTGAAATTGGGTTTTACTCGTAGATTTAAAGAATGATGGGTATATGTCTATGAAATAGAAATTGTAGGGACCTATATTGACAAGCCCTAATAATAATTACAAGCTGGAGACTCTGGAGGTTGAGGTAGAGATCAAATCCAACGCTGACAAATTGTACAGGGTCTTCAGCAACCAGCACCACGCCTTTCCCAAGGCCCCCTCTGATCATGTACACGATGTTGTAGTTCATGAAGGTGGCTGGGAAACTTCTGGTTCCATCAAGCTTTGGACATACACCACGGAGACATAATGACGCTGACACATACGTTGATTTTACTTTTTAATTCTCAATTTTTCAAATTGTATATCTTTTACTGTGTTTACTCGTTGGAATGTTTTTTTTTCTTTGCATATATTCATGGTTTGACATTAGGGGTGGACATGGTCCAGATTGGATCAATTTCACTTCAAAACCATGGCTGAACCAATAACAATATAGCAATTTAATTTGATTCGGTTTTAACAAGATCATGAAGAAAACCAAACTGTCTACTTACTTTCTCTTCTGCGTGACATCATGTGTAGATGGAAATGTTGAGATCTTCAAGGAAAAGGTGGAAATAGATGAAGCAAACAAATGGGTAAGTCTTACCGCTTTGGAGGGAAATGTGCTGGAGCAATACAAAAGCTATAAGATCATTTTTCAGGTCACTTCAAAAAGTGAAGGAGGAGGTCTGGTGAAAATTACTATACATTATGGAAAACTTAATGACAACGATCCACCTCCACATATCTTCGCTTTGCGATCAATGTTGTTCATGATATGGATGCCCATCTTCTTAAAGAATAAACGTACCAACCAAGATTAATATATATTTTATATATATATATATATATATATATACATAAAGAAGAATAAAAAAGTTTATTAATTAGAAAATATAAATGATATTATTATATTGAGAGCTAGCTAGCTAGCCTTGTTCTTCATCGTTTCCATGTGTATCTTTAATTTTATGGGCAAGCATGAATTGGATTATTGATGTATTATTGTTATCTTGCTTGTGTGAGCAAGTTTCATATGGATAATCTTCCAGATTAATAAATTGCTCTATTATATTGTGTTAGTACTCCTAAATGCGCGTAGTTAATTACATGGGGTTCATGATTGAAATGGGGCTGGGCTGAATTGAAGTTTTAGACTAACCTCCCTAGACACTAATTAAATCTTACTTTAATGCTTGAATTAGAGAAAAATTAAATCCTAGTTTAAAAACCTGAAATGTAAATAAAATTAGAAGAAAAAGACGAGGGATGAATACAAACAAAACAAACAAAAAAGGCCCCATTAAAGAAAGAAAAAAGAAAAGAAAAGAATGGAAATGAAATTTTAAAATTTTAGTTAAATTCTGAGTTATTTTTCTTTATCTAAACGGATGGTTAATTAGGGTTTAGGGTTTATAATGTTGATAGGTTTGCATGTCTTGTTGTGCTTGTTTGTACAATAACAAGCGCCTCTTCTTGGAAGCGTAGAAGGCTAGTCGATAGTAATGGTGGATGATGCCGTACAGGCAGTCCCTCAGCCCCACCACGTCAAACGTCTCAATAAATCTCAAATCGGTCGTCCTAGATTTCGCGCCCGCGAATCTCTGGTACTCCTCAAACACCGAAGCCAAGCACCAATTCTGAAATTTCCGCAGCACACCCACGAGACAACCCGTCCGATGCTTGCCACGTTTGCAGTGGATCAACACCGGATGGTTCCTCACGTCGATCAACACCTTCAGAGCCTCCAAGATCGTCTGCTTGGGGATCGACGACGCAGCCGAAGAAGAAGCCTCCTTCTTCCCCTCGATTCCGAAATTGGAGCAGGTGGATGTTTTGAGACCGAAGAAACTCCAGATTCTCCTCCGGGTAGGGCTCCGGGCACAGATATATGATGGATCGGAGTTGAAGGGTTTTGAGGAATGGGAAATTGGGCGGCTGAGGGAAGCCTGATCTGAAAATGCCCTCGTCCACCATCGAGAAATTGATCGGCGGCTCCAAAACGTCGTTGTCGTCCTGGATCATCTTCTGTTTCGCTGCAGTTTCTTTCTTAAATTGCAACTAAGTGATATTATTTGCTTGATTTGACGGAGTGATCGCACAGTTTGAATGTATTTATATGCGAACTAACTATCTAACCGAATCCAACAATGAGCCAATTTAGTTTCTAAACGAACTAACTAAATCCGTAACTGATTAGAACTATAACTCGAACGTTGTTGTGCTTCTAGGAGAAGAAGGAGCTCTCGGAATTTGTTTATTTGTTTATTTTATTACTTTTAATTTCAAAATTCGTGTTTGTTGTAAAAACGGAGATACGGTAAAAAGCAAAGTGGATTTGGATTACAAGTTTTTTCCAAGCTGGAGGAGGAAGAAAGGGTGATCAACATGTAATTTATTAGTAGGTGTAGCAGGGCATTTTTGAAAAGGTCAAAATAATACAAACAAACAAACAACAAAGTATATATTATATTAGGATGAGCATCACAAAACTAAGATGCGGCCTTTTTTGTATTATATTTTGTTGGAAAATATAATGGCTTAATATTACAAAACGTTCCTGAGGTTTACGAAACTATCATATTGCATCCTTAACTTGTTTTTTTGTGTGTCATTCTTGGTCCTTAAGATTAGTATATGTGACTACAAATGGTCCCTTCCATTAGGTCCCTTCAAAAACTCCGTTAGTTTGCTGATGTGACATATATATATATCACAAAACATCCCTAAGGTTCACACATATCACAAATGGTCCCTGCAAATTTTTTTATTTTTTCATTTAAAATTCATAAAATTTTGGTTTTCTTTTTTATTTTTTTTATTTTTTCATGTATGTTTTTTGGATGAACTAATTATTGCTTTAGCCAAATACACAGATGGGAAAACTACCTTTTCCAAGGAGTTAATTGAAGCCATAGACGACGAAACTCATTCGGTGACTTTTACAGTCCTTGAAGGAAACCCTCTGGATCGTCCAAAATCAGGCGACATTGACAATATTGCTGATGAAGGCAGCGTGGTGCATTTGGTGCTTCAATATGAAAAGCGGAACGACAGTGTTCCTGACCCACATCTCCAGCTCCAGTTGGCAGTTATTCTCCTCAAAGAGACTGATAATTTCCTGAACCAAGCATAATCCAATTGACCACCAAGGGTTATCTAGTGTGGTATTTATTTACCATCTGCGTATGCAATAATAAAAAGTGCAAGTTGAAGTTAATCATGCTTACATGTTTTCTTTTCCTTCTCTGTTTTGTATAAAATGTTTGTGTACACGTGTTGTTACAACTGTGAAATCTTGATCATTACCAGCAAATGCAAAATTAACGAAAACTCAAGCTGAGAAATCTTGATCAACATCCCAATTGAGTGTGTTCAATTGTTTCTTATAATATTTAATTTCTCAACGACCACTCAGACAGTCGACATACCTGTACGATTCCCTTGCAAGGATTTAAAGCAAAAATAAATTGTAAATAATTGGTGGAAAGCATTTAAGCATTCCAAACAATATACCTGAACGTCACTAAAGATTTTGTAAATCCTGAGACGATTGACATCCTCTACCACTTCCAAGAAGCCTGCCCATAATTTTTAACCTCCTCCCCACGCAAAATTTTTGTGGTGATTGTCGTCAGCCCTATTACTTAACTTTTATGTAGGGCATGTTGTGGATTGTCACTAAATAATGCACCCAATAACCTAAGACTGTGGGCCCCTACTACAGGTAGCTTTAGTAAATAACTTCTCCTATTTAGCTTATCTCAAGGTGTTTTCTGCCAATTCTATCCTATTTAAGCTTAATCTTGGGCTTATCTCCTTAATCGATCTCATAATTAAGATATGGCTTTGGTTGGTAAGCTTGAGACAGAATATTTGCGATAAGTTTAATATATCTCCTTAAACATGCCTGCTGATAAGTTTTACAAAATATTTGCCAGCCAAATGCACCTACTTCCTAACGTCTCTTCTGACAAAATACAAGGGGTTGAGCTACATGAAGGTGATTGGGAGACTGCCGGTTCAGTCAAGCATTGGGATTATACCTTGGGTAAGTAACACAACAGCCAATTAATTAGATTTTGTTGACGCAAAAAAATGGTTCGGCACTTTCCCGCGCAACTTAGTGATGTTGGGCCTTTGGTATGCTCTTGGCCTCGGAAGGGCGTTCGATCTGCAAGATAAGAAACGCTCGGTAAGACCTAGGGCACCGATGTGGTACCGGCCGAAGGCTCTCCGATGCTTAAGTAAGTATGGATTTACTAAGATTGAACTACAGATCAATAGGCAGTATACCGTAAGTTCTGATTGATTACCTCCAAGTTGGGATAGTTGTCCTCTTTTATAGGCCTCGGGAGGTGTGCAAGTTGTTTAGAATTTCGATGTGGGACTGTGGACTCCAATTGTGGGACTGCCACGTGTCCCTAGGGGTGAAGTTGCCCTAATCGTGCGATCGGTAGGAACGGTACCGAAGCTAGGTGTCGAAGGCTTCCATAGCTCCAGTTTGGCCCACGTGTCCGATGCTTACTGGCTGTTCATTTTGGTATAAACAGATTTAAAAAGTAAATTACCCATCTATATATTCATTTGTCCCCTGAACTTGTATCTAGCTTTCGATTTATCCCTTATATATTTTTTAAAAAAATGAAGGATATAAACTTCTTTTTTTTGCCAATTTCCCCCCTTATGCAACATTTCATCTAATTTACTGTTAAATACGAGGGCAAAATGGTCATTTTATACGTTAAAAATAAATAAAAACTAAAAATTAAAATAATTTTAAAAAAAAATTGCTCTCTCTCTCTCTCTCTCTCTCTCTCTCTCTCTCTCTGTGCAGGTGGGTTACGAGTTGTATTATGTGAGTTGGAGGGGAAGGCTGGGGATGGGATGGATCTTCTCTCTCTCTCTCTCTGTGTGCAGGTGGGTTACGAGTTGTATTATGTGGGTTGGGGGGACAGCTGGGGATGGGATGGATCTGCATGTGGGGGCAAGGGTTGGGGATGGAGGGATTGGGGGTTAGGTTGAGGAATTTTAGGGGCCCGGGGGGAGCGGGCAATTGGCGGATCCACATAGGCGCAAGGAGGTGCGGTTGCACCTCCCCCTTACTGGAAAAACCTTTGGTGGTGAAATGGATTCTGGACTATGAGAAGGTGAAGGACGAAATCCCAGCTCCGCAATATTATCAGGACACTCATCTTGTCAATGCATGATATCATTGAGAAATATATATTACTGGTACTAATAATTATTTAAGATCTTCTGTTAAATTTATAAGTTCGGTATTTTAGTGATGTTTGCATCTTATTAAGTGCTGGCTTAGGCTCGATTTCCATTCCAATCCCCGTGTACTTGTGCAGTTGTGCTAATAGAAAGAAATCAGACTATGACATCAATCAATCTTTTCTTTTGTTGAAACATCAATTGTATTTTGGCAAACCGAAGTAATGGAAGTTCCTATCACATTAAATATTTTTAGTTTTTGTCCTTGAGGGTAAATGGTTAATTGAACATTTTCGTCCAAACCAGTTGGGTTTTGACTTGTTAAAATTGTTAAGTATTAAGACTATTATTTGTAGTTGATATAAGGAATGATGAGCAAAAACTGGACCCATCAGCACATCACTCATTTTATTTTATATATGTGATAACCATAGTTAATGCATCACAATATCACATATGACATCCCTTGACACAAATACATAGCAAAGCATTTTTAACTACTTGTAATTAAACAAAGCACGCATTAATTAACACGATAATATAATTCATGAACTTTAACGATGAACCAGCAAGCAGTACGTAGCTCTTTTCACCGTTGCATGCTTTTACTCATGCCTTGATAAAGTGAGCATCAAGATCCTTGACAATATTTACCATCAAACCAACGTACTTGTCTGGAGCTGCAACATTGTCATTCAATTTCTCATATGCAATCGACAAGGTCGCAATGCTGCCTTCATCATTTTGAGTGAATTGATAGACAGGCTTAAAGCTTTTGAAATACTTGAAGACATCTCCTTCCACCCCATTCAGAGTTATGGACTTGTTCTCATCGTTGTACTCCACCTTTTCCTTGAATACCCCGACTTCGTCCCCTATTTCACAAGACATAATTGTATTTTGTTAGGTAGGGAATTAAAGATGTACACCCGCTACATGTAAGATGCATATAGATGACCTTACCTACTGAGTAATTCCAACTCTTAATAGAGCCATGTGTTTTCCAGTCTCCTTCATGCACCTGAACTCCTTGAATGCTGCCAGGAGAAATGTTTGGGACGTGGTGTGCCCGGCTCTTGAAGATGTTGTAGAACTTCTCAGCTGGTGCCTTAATTTCTATTTCAGTCTCAACCTTACCTTTCATAGGCGCCATGTCTATCAGTTGTTGTGATGATACTCAGAATTAAGTATAAGTAGCGATCGATGTGTGTACAAGGCAGAATGTTAACGAACATTATTTGGGCTCCCTTAAATACAAGTGAGAGTCTGAGTGACGACACCTAAAGGGTGCAATATTTATTAATTTATTGGATAACTTTAAAAATATTGTGCTTGAAACATGCATACTTCATGAATCACATGAAACACATCAACACATTTATTTTATATAAATTATTGAAAATATATTTTATATGAATTCAGATTAACGTAATGATTGCAATCAGGGGCGATACTACCCTAAGGGCAGGGTAGGCAGTCGTTTATTCCATTTTTTGCCAAACCAAAAATTACCCAATACCCAATACAATCAAATTTCTTCTGCCTACTCAAACCCAACCCACTAGGGGGGATCCTACCCAAAGGATAGGGTAGGCAGCAGCCTACTCAATTTTTTGCCAAACCAAAAATTACCCAATACAATCAAATTTCTTTTGCCTACTCAAATTGAACCCACTCAAATTTTTCCCTTTAACAAAAACAATAGTCAAGCCCACTCAAACTTTCTCCTTTAACAAAAATAATAAAAAGCAATATAAACATGTGAAAGTTGTATGGAGATTTTTTTCAATGTTGACTAACATTGTGAATTTTGTTAGTACTTCTGCTAAGCCCCGTAATGAGTTAATTTCATTCGAAAAGCTGAACTCAAAGAGTTGTTGGATTCTGGGAAAAATGAGACAGGTAAAGGACTTAATTAAGGTTGTAGTTTGAAACGAGCTAGAGCCACTCATTGGGGATCTCACTTTGCCTCTATTACAAGTTTGATGAGTTTATTTAAAGAGACTAAAATACTTCTCCAAGAAATCAGTGATTATGGACCTAACCAAAAATTTTGTGGCGATGTAGAGAATAACTATATTGTTATGATGTTTTTTGAGTTTGTGTTTTCATTTCTTTTGATGGATAAAATTATGGGATTAACCAACTTTCTTTGTCAAGTGTTTCAGACAAAAACTCAAGATATTGTAAGTGCTTTAAACTTTGTTGAAAACACAAAATCACAATTCTAATATATGAGGGCACATGGATGAGATGATTTATTCATGAGTGTGGTATCATTTTGTATGATCAATATAATGGCACATGACTCGATGTATGATCAATTATGATTTATTTATTTATTTGATAATTTGATATTCATTTCCATTAGATTAATTGAAATTTATTTTTTTAGATTAATCTTCGTTAAATTCTAAAGGTATTTGGTTGTCTAATTTTATTTTATTTTTGAACTTTTAGTCTTTTATTTATTGCCCATTCCTTGAAAAAATCATGGATTCGACGCGGGGGTGGGGGGAGGGGAGTCTGTGGTCGATGGGGTTACAGAAGGAGAGAGAGAGAGAGAGAGAGAGAGAGAGAGAGAGAGAGAGAGAGAGAGAGAGAGTTGGGGGGAGGGGGTTGGCGATAGGTTTGGTTCAGGGGGTCCCAAGATTTATTTATTTTTTCCTCTTTTTCTATTTTTCTTTTTTTTCTTTTTTTTTTTTTTTTTTTTTTTTTTTTTTTTTAATTTTTTTTAGGTTTTTAACAGAAATAAATTTGATGAAATTTTGAGGATTTTAGACTACATGGGGGGAATTGGAGAAAAAGAAGATGAAGTTCATATCCTTAATTTTCTAACAAAAAAAGTATAAGAAGTAAAACGAAAATTAGATACAAATTCAGGGGTCAAATCAACTATTAAGCCTATTATATAATCATGACTTATATATGTGCATATAGATATAGGAGCTCATTAAGTTTAAAGGAGACAGTTGAAGCGATGGATTAGGAAAACAAGACAGTGACATTTCAACGTTTTGGATGGAGAAATATTGAAGCATTACAAGAGCTTCAAGGTCACTCTTAAAGAGACAGAAAAGACAGTTTGGTGAAATGGATTCTGGACTATGAGAAGGTGAAGGACGAAATCCCAGCTCCGCAATCTTATCAGGACGCTCATCTTGTCAATGCATGATATCATTGAGAAATATATATTACTGGTACTAATAATTATTTAAGATCTTCTGTTAAATTTATAAGTTCGGTATTTTAGTGATGTTTGCTTCTTATTAAGTGCTGGCTTAGGCTCGATTTCCATTTCAATCCTTATAAGGGGCTAGACGTCTGTGTACTTGTACAGTTGTACTAATTGAAAGGAAGAAGAAGAAAAACACCTATGTGCAAATATGTATTTGGTATTGGTGATATATTTGTATTAGCAATATTTGTGGATAATAATCAATCGTATTTTCTGTTTTCATTGATAACCATATTCATGCTTAATGACAAAATATAAATGGACTTTTTTCTATTGCAATTTCCAATAGGGATCTCTCAACTAAAATAAAAATAAAAACAAAAACAAAAACAAAAAGTGTTGTGCGGAACACTCCAACACCTTGTTCGAGTTGTCTGGAATCAAAACTTATCCAAAGTTTGCGATTTGAGTGAAGTGATGTTGCATCATAATTAAGTGCTGGGTTAGCATCGATTTCAGTTTCAATCTTTAGCGGCTGGACGTGCGTGTACTTGCACTAACAGAAAGCAAAAATAAAAACAAAAACAAAAAGTTGGGTATATATCTTATCGGAAAAAGGATATATCCTTACCCAAAAAGAGCTGGAAAAAGAATCCTCTTTCTGATCCACCATAAGATGAAGATAGTGGAGATAGGACATCAGTAGTTCAAGCTTGCCCTGCTGGAGGGCCCAGAAAACTGCATAATTGCTTCGCAGAACCACAAACCAGGATCAGCTGGAATATTGTCCTTAACAGAACCAACCTTTGGAATATATACATGCATCATACATCAACTTTTGAAATATATTTCAATTTATATGCATACTGTAAATAATATTGGCTAAAGTAGTCAAGGGGATACATTATACATGTGATGTCTATAATTTCTTTCTTCTATATAAAGACCGAGAGAGAGAGAGAGAGAGTTATATATTTTCCACCAGACTCTGGCTAATTTCATTCAAATTACAAAGGTACGTTATACAACTCTCGATTGAACAATACATAATATATGGCTCAAATAGCAAACATAGAAGTCCAAGCCGAGATCAAAGCCAGTGCTGACAAGTTCTACGAAATCTTTCGTAGCAAGGGGTACCTTTTGCCCAAGATCTGCCCTAATATTATAAAGGATCTACAGGTGCTTAAAGGTGACGGGAGCTCTGTGGGCTCAATCAAGCAATGGACGTACATTGCTGCAGGTAACAAATATATTAATTAATACTCTATGATATGAGTTAATATATGCATATATAATATACTGGAGAGATAAAATAATAGTTATAACTGTCAATTTCATAGCTAGACTATTATTTATCATAAACCTAACCTCCACCTTAATTAATTGGTTGTCTAAAACCATGATAGGCAATTTTTCTGAGGTTTCGAAAGAGACAATTGAATCCATAGATGAGAAAAACAAATCAATTGCTTTCCGAACAGTGGAAGGAGAGATCACGAAACACTACAAGAGTTTCAAGGCGACAGTTCAAGTTACACCAAGGGGTGATGGATACAGCCGCAGCAGTAGCTCATCAGTGAAATGGAACATAGAATACGAGAAGCAGAATGAGGCTGTTCCAGCTCCTAATAAGTATCTAGACTTTGTGATCATTCTCACTAACAATGTTGATGCTTACCTTCTCAATAATGCGTAACAGATGCTAGTACAATATTACCCACAGCTAATACTATTAGCGTATTATTGGCTTCGTAAAGAAAAACAATATATATTGATCAGATCGATCGATGTTAAAAAGTGTTGCAAGATGAAATTAGAAAATCAATAAAATTAAATTAGCTCGCAAAATGAGCTTCAGATGTTGGTCACGGGAAAGAAAAAGGGCACACTAGAGAAATAGGAAATCTAATCATAGACCCTTCCATTGCATGCGGAACATGTGGTTTCCAGATTTTTCATTGCATGTGGAACATGTGGTTTCCAGATTGAATATGTAGTATTTTATAATGAAAAATGACATTTGATCGACAGGCAGTGACGCACCCAGTCACCAACCCCAAATGATAATAATTAATTTGAAAAGGCAAAAAAAAAAAAAAAAAAAAAAAAAAAAAAACTTGCACGAAAAAGGAAAGTTTAAATGTTTAATAAACTTATCAGAAATCAGAATTATCCACCCGCCAGCAGTTTATTAATTCGTTCTGACAGTGTGACTTGATGAGCAACTGTTGATGAGTCCCGTTGAATACGCCCGATTTCTCAGGCAGATTCCTATGAACAGTAAGTAGTAGGGTATGGGCTATAACTTGATCATATGCATGGGAAACTGCACTAATCACAAAGCCCGTTGGTTAAAGTTAATCACAAATCACTAATCACAAAGCCCCAAAGCTCCACGTATTTTGGTTCGTAGAATTCAAAGGCATTGAGAAAGTTGTTTACCTGTCACGATCGGTGTCTCCCCGAACAAATAACAATCACTTTCCAACATTATATATGAGATATGTCATTAATCATAACATATGCAATAAATGTTTTACCTGCTCTCTTTTTTTAATACATGCATCGCGATCTTCTAGTGGTTTTTTCTGTGTTGGTATTTTGTTTCAACTTAAAAACAAACGGTAATGTTTTAGCTTTAGACTTGATTAGAATTTAGGACAAACATTAGAATAATAATCAACTGAAGATCAAATGGAAGTTTGAAATAATGTAGTTTGTGGACGCACATAACAATCATATTCACAATATATATATATATATAAAAATCTATAGATAGACTTCATTTTGGACGAAACCACTTTTGATTTCAGATGTCTGATCATATTTGAAATTAGTCACACACATTACCGACATGCTAAGGTCAGTATTTCGTCTTTATTTATTATAGTGGGGTTTGATGGATCCCACAACAACTAAATAATTGAAGTGAGATTCATGTGGTTTTGAAAATAGAGAACAAATAGTAAAAAATGAAAATAATGTGGCTTATGGATCATGAGCCTCTGCATTTAGGTCCAATGCATTTACTTGCATTTTGTTAAATCTAAGCCACCTAAACAATCTAACCCCTGAACACATGACACCTCATCAAACTTTAAATCAGTAATTTTTTTTTTCTTTTCAAAATTCACTTTAACGTTGTTGAGGGTTTGTTTTAACGTGATTCCTTCTCCTTCCTCTCGTGAGCGTGTTTCATCCAACGTTCTTCTTTATTTTTTATATAATAACTTCCCCTTCTTCTTGGTTTGAGCGTTGTGGTTCCGATTGCCTTGTTGCTGGCCGTTTTGAATAAAAAATACAATTCCAACTTTTTCTGTATTATAATGAAAATTCTGGTGACCAAGTTCCTATAGGAAGATAAACAACCAATCTTCAATTGAAAAAATCAACTTAACCAGTCAGAGGAGTACATGTGGGATGACCATAAAATTGCGTCTTATACCTTACAGAAGCTCCTTGATCAGGGCAATGGTATCAGTTGGCTCTTGATCGATCTCAATTTCTTTGTTGGCATGAGTCGTCACCGTTAATCATAGTTCCTCCCCTCTGTTAGAGTATAGAGCTTTAGATTGTGACACTTGTCACAATCTTGCTGTAGTAGTTAGTTTGTTTGTTATCTGTAGCTATATAAGAGACTTTCTCATGTAATTACAGATTAATTAAGAAAATATATCAGATTGATATTCTCTCTAGCTTCTCTCTTTAGCTACTCTCTCTACTCTCTCTCTCTGTTCTTGGTTCAATATACCTATCAGCTGATATAGCTTAACATGGTATCAATCGCCATTGTTGCTTACACTTGAAGTTTTTCGATCCTCTGTTGCTTCCGCATTCTCTGATTCGGCTCGTCTTCTCCGATTCGATACTTCGTCTTCTCCACTTTCTGATTTCTGCAATTTCTAGGGTTTCGTGTCTCTCTTCCTTTCTTGATCGGTTCTTTCTGAATCTTGCACAGCAGGTGTTTGTGGTATTGTCTCACTCACAGGTTGATCTTGCAATCACGATGGTGACTGCTTCGCAGCTTCAGTTGCTTCAATCTCCAATTACGGCCCTTATTTCCTCCATTTCTACATCTGTTAATGTCAAGCTGGATGATTCGAACTACCTCAATTGGAACTTTCAGATGCAACTTTTGTTTGAAAGCAATGGAATCATGGGGTATGTTGATGGTTCGATTCCTTGTCCATCTCAACACGGTTCGACCTCTGATGAATCTGGTATCATTTCTTCTTCTCCAACTGATGAATATATGGTATGGAAAATGCATGACAGAGCTATTATGCAATTGATCACTACAACATTATCACCTATTGCTATGTCTTGTGCGATTGGTAGCACTAGCTCCAAGGATCTGTGGATTAGGCTAAAGGAACAATTTTCCACTGTATCTCGGACTAGCATTTTTCAGATGAAATCTAATTTGCAAACAATTAAGAAGGGTTCTGATTCGATATCTCAGTATCTTCATCGCATTAAAGAAGCTAGGGACTATCTTTCTGCTGCTGGGGTGTACTTTGCGGATGAAGACATTGTCATTCTTGCCTTGAATGGACTACCTGCTGAGTATAACACCTTCAGATGTGTTATACGGGGGCGTGAAAGTGTGATTTCTCTAAAAGATTTTCGCTCACAGTTACTTGCAGAGGAAACCATTGTTGAACATTCGGTTAATACTCCTCTTATGACAGCTATGGTTGCTAATACAGGTTCCACTTACACAAAAGGGCCTCCTTTTCAGCCTCAGAGTTTCTCCCCGACTCATGGTCCATCTCAGGTGGCCACTAGAGGTTTTACACCTTATAATGGGAACAAGAACAAGGGTAAAGGCAGATTCACTCAGGGATCTAGATTTTATCATTCTAGACCAGTGTTTTCCCCTATGGCACATATGCTTCCCAACTCTACTCTTGGAGTTCTTGGTCAATCACCTGGTCAACAGTTTGGCATTCCTTCTGCACCCATGATTCAAATCTGTCAATTATGCAACTCTGAGGGACACACTGCTCCATTCTGTGGGGCTTCTCATGAGAAAACCAAATGTCACATCTGTGGTAGAAGTAATCATACCACCTGGTATTGCTTCTATAATGATAAGGGTCCAAACTATATTGGGATGCATACCACTGCTTCATATTCTTCACGGTCATCCTATCCTGTGCAACCACAGAATTTGCAATACACTTCATATCAAGCTCCTCCTCAGCATTCCTCATTCACACCTTCACAGTTTCCGGCTCCGCAACCTTCTATGCAAGCCATGCACACAGTGCTCAATTCTGCATCTCAATCATCCAATTCTTCAGGTTCTTCTCCGGTATGGCTCACTGATTCCGGTGCCACCAATCATATGACAGCTGATTTGACTAATCTGTCACTGGCCTCCCCGTATCCCACAAATGAAACAATTCACACTGCAAATGGTGAAGGTTTGAAAGTGTCTCATGTTGGTCATTCTACCATTCATACATCAGTTTCCCCAATCAAATTGAACTCTGTGCTCTATGTTCCTCAATTAACTCAGAACCTGTTGTCAGTACATCGACTTTGTCTTGACAATAATTGCTGGCTTATATTTGATGCCTTTTGTTTTTGGATTCAGGACAAAGCCACAGGGAGGATCCTTTACAGAGGCTTGTGCAGTAATGGACTATATCCTATCCACTCCTTGTCCACTTCAAACTCACAGACACCTTCTCAAGCTAAGGCATTTCTTGGCCAACTTGTTCAGTCTAATCTGTGGCACCATAGGTTAGGTCATCCTACCAATAATGTTGTTTCTCTGATGTTGAATAAAGCTAATGTTCATGTCCCCAAAACCTCATCCCCTATGATGTGTCATACATGTCTAGAAGGGAAATTTAGCAAACTACCTTTTCCACAACATCTCAATAAGTCTGTCACTCCCTTTGAAACTATCCATACTGATTTGTGGGGTCCTGCACCTTGTATATCAGTTGATGGTTATAGATACTACACCATCTTTGTAGATGAATGTACCAGGTATTGCTGGATCTTTCCATTAATCAACAAGTCTGATTTGTTCTCTGCGTTTGTTGCCTTTTATTCCTTTGTTGTTACTCAATTTTCTGCCCCAATTAAAATTCTTCAAACTGATGGGGGGGGAGAGTATACCAGCAACAAATTGAAAAATTTTATTCTTGAAAAGGGCATTTCACATCACCTCTCTTGTCCATATACTCCTGAACAAAATGGGGTTGCTGAGAGGAAACATAGGCATATCATTGAAACCACTATCACCTTATTACAAACAGCCAAATTGCCATCTCAGTTCTGGTCCTATGCTTGTCAAACAGCCACATATCTAATCAATCGTATGCCTACTGCTGTTCTTCATAACAAATCTCCTTTTGAGATGTTATTTGGGAAATATCCAACCCTTGCTCACCTTAGAATTTTTGGATGTGCCTGTTTTCCTTTACTCAAACCATATAATAGCACCAAATTGCAGGCCAAAACTACAAAGTGTGTGTTTCTTGGGTATGCCACCAAATATAAAGGGTATTTGTGCTATCATGTGCCTACAAAGAGAGTGTTTGTTTCTAGGCATGTTATATTTGATGAATGCCATTTTCCCTACACAGATTTATTGCCTACACATTCAAACACATTCACATCTACACAATCATGTCCACGTTCCAATTGTCATTTGCCTATTGTTACTACCGAGAATATAGTTGTCCCATCCATTCCAGATTCTACTCCTCCAATTTCTGGTCTCCCTACACCTACTCCATCACATATATCTGCTTCAGTTTCCTTAACACATTCTGCCTCCGATTTTTCTGAAGTTTCTCCCAGTTCTCAGTCCATTGCTGCTTCAATTCCAGCCTATTCTCCAATCCCTGTGGCACTTGACATCAGATCTAGCTCTGGATTAGAAACACATGATTTTACTCCTGATACTTTACAAGTAGTGTTGTCCATTCCTCCACTCAATCTGCATCCCATGCAAACTAGAAGCAAGAGTGGGATTATTAAAAAGAAAGCTCTCTTAGCAAGTGTTCAGGACTCTGGGGGAACTGATATGTCCTTGGTTGAACCAGTTAGTTACAGGTCTGCCATCAAAGTCCCTGTGTGGTTACAGGCCATGAAAGAAGAAGTTAATGCTTTACATACTCAAGGCACTTGGAGTCTAGTTCAATTGCCAACAAACAAGAACCTCGTTGGTTGTAAATGGATTTTCAAGATTAAGAGACACTCAGATGGGTCTATTGCCAGACACAAAGCACGGTTAGTTGCTAAGGGCTTCAGTCAAGAACCTGGATTGGATTATGGGGAGACTTTTAGCCCTGTGGTGAAGCCTACCACAGTTAGGTTAGTTCTTGCTCTTGCTGCTCATTTCAATTGGCCTCTTCGACAATTAGATGTCAAAAATGCTTTTTTGCATGGCATCCTACAAGAGGAGGTATACATGTCTCAACCTCCTGGTTTTGAAGATCCAACTCATCCTCATCTCGTGTGTAAACTGCATAAATCTCTATATGGGCTAAAACAAGCTCCTAGGGCATGGAATGATCGGTTTACTCAGTTTCTTCCTTCTTTGGGTTTTGAAAACACATACTCTGACTCCTCATTGTTTGTTAAGCATGTTGGTCATGAGATTGTGGTTCTGCTCCTCTATGTGGATGACATCATTATAACTGGCAGTGCTTCTGGTGCAATTACCCAGGTTATTAGTGCTCTTACTACTGAGTTTGATATCAAGGATTTAGGGTTGCTCCACTATTTCTTAGGGATTCAAATCACTAAAACTGCCACTGGTTTGTTTCTGTCACAAACCAAATATGTTGCTGATTTATTGGTTAAATCTGAAATGTTTGAAGCTAAACCATGTGATACACCATGCCTCCTTACAACCGGTTACTCAAAGAGGATGGGGAACCTTATTCCAATCCTAAGTTGTATAGAAGTATTGTCGGGGCTCTACAATACTTAACTTTCACTAGGCCAGATATTGCATTTTCTGTGCACCAAGTCTGTCAGTTTATGCAAAATCCAATGGTGTCTCATTTTACTGCAGTTAAACGTATATTACGATATCTAAAGGGCACAATGCAGTTTGGTATCTCATATACTAGAGGAGATTTGCAATTAGCTGATATAGCTTAACACCCTCAGCCTCAAAACCAGGTGAAGCGTTGACTCCTTTTAGAATGAATCTCAGTCCAGTGGATATGTTGATAATATATTTCGACATATTCCTATATGAATCTCTGTTGTGGCAATTGAAACCATGAAGAAAGGAGTTTCGGAAAAAAAAATATGAAAAAAAAGGGCACACTACGAGTAGGAATCACGTTAAAACAAACCATCAATGACGCTAACTTGAGTTTTGGAAACAAAAAAATTCTAAGTTACAGTTTGATGAGGTGTCATGTGTTAAGGGGGTTAGATTGTTTGGGTAGCTTAGATTTAATGAAATGCCGATAAATGTACAGGACCTAAATGCAGAGGCTCAAGATCCGTGACTTGTATATTCATGATATAGCTCCATCACTACTATAAGAGCCTAGGTGTTTTCTTCACCACTGCGACGAAACTTCTTCTTATTTTATTGTCATTTATTTATTTCCTCATTCAATCCGGCTTGGAGCATAACGTTTTTTTTCAAAAATGTCTTATTCTGGTAAGGTGGAGACTGATGTTGAAATCAAGGCTCCTGCTGTGAAGTTCCATGAATTCTTCACGCAGAGGCCACACCATCTATCCAATATCTGCTCTGATAAAATTAAGGGTTGTGATTTACATGACGGTGACTGGGGAAAAGTCGGCTCTGTCGTCAACTGGAATTATATCCACGGTAATTAATTAGGCTTCAAATATATAGCTAATGTTGGGCTATGTAAATGATTAGTGCTTGATTAAAGTTTGAATTAACGTAGTCGTAGACTCGTAAGTTGAATAATATCTGATAATCATCGTTATTAAACATGCTTAATCTTCAATTACTAATTACATGGTGAAATTATTGGCAGATGGGAAAGCTAAGGTTGCTAAGGTGGTATTTGAAGCCATAGACGACGAAAAGAACTCGATCACTCTGAGAGTTGTAGAAGGAGATCTTCTGGAGCATTACAAGAGCTTCAAGATCACAATTCAAGCAACTCCAAAAGGGGAGGGCAGCGTGGTGCATTGGACTTTTGAATATGAAAAGGTGCATGGCGATGTCACAGACCCACATACGCTGCTCCAGTTGGCAGTTGATCTCACCACAGATATTGGTGCTCACCTTACAGCCTAAGATTGCATAAAACGCCTAAGGCTCCCAATCTGTGTGTTGCTGGCTGTTACTCTATCTGAAATGCGCACTTATAAATAAGTGATTTGGAGCCATCATCATATTGCGATTCTTGTTTCCTATCAATCATATGTTTGTATGTTATAATTGGGGTTATGCCCTAATTACTGGCTTTTATGTACGTCCTCCTATCAAATTATTATTAATAATAAATGAATGATATGTGTGTACGTATGTTTTTGCTAAAATTAAATTTGGGTTGCGTGTATACATATTTTCTAGCTCTGTCGTAAGACTGTAACCCCATCCCCTCATCATCTATGCAAACCTGCAGTCACATACCCTATTTGTAATTGCATAGCGGTTCCATTTGTCAGAGTAAATCCAAAACAGATAGACCCCTGAGAGAATTTTTGTATTGTATTGGTTGAAGTGCTACAAATTAAGGAGTTACAGTATTTTATATAGCAGATAAAAGCTAGGCTTAACTAAACCTCTAACAAGCTAATCTTAGCTAATCTTATCTTTTTAATCTTACACCATTGATGGAAAAGTACTACTATGCGGAGACGCATCATTTAATTTCATGCATGATATACATGTCCTGTGATCAACTAGACCAAGACAATGGAATTAATGACATGCCTCCTCCACAAGGTACCATGAATTAAACGTTGATGGTTCAAGATCTGTCTCTGGTTATTCTCTTGGCGACGGAGGTCTCGTTAGGAATTGGCAGGGTGATTGGGTTGTTGGTTTTTTCTGCAAATCTTGGATCACAAATATTCGTCACAATAGCTCGCTGGGAAAGGTTTTCGCGATGAAACATATACAGTTGTCGGCAAAGAATACCTATGACGACAGCTGTTTGTTTCGCGGTACAAATTCAATCTTAGACGAGGGAGTTTTTGCCGGGTTAGTTAACTTTGGCCGACAAAATAAAGTCCTCACAAGTAATTCGCTATCACTGCTACGAAGTGGTTTATCAATAATCTCGTCATGGGCTCTGAAAATCATTGAATAAATTCAACAATGACATAGTTTACTTACATTTCAATCAATTGCAGTATTTCTACGTACAAACCATTTTGCAGCTTAGTGCTAACTTAAAAAACAAGAACCATAAAAAGAAAAAAAAATTTAATTGTTAAAATCTTGAATTGTTACAGAGTTTATCTTCATATCAACCAGAAGAATTAAAAAAAAACTAGATTGTGCTTCTAGGAGTGCTCTCTCAATTTGCAGGATGATGAGGCTGGAAGCTCTCCAGGTAGAATGATAGTAAACTATAAAAATAAAAATGAAAAAGATTTAATTACTGATCATCAAAACAACAGTCAAATATAGTATATATCATCAGAACGAAAGACTGATGATCTTTCAAAAAAATTCCAAGGTTGATGAAAGTAAAATAAGAACCTGCTCGAAGATAGATACATGTGTTTCTTGCAGATTGGCAATCAAAGATCGTGATGAAATTCGACAATATCTCAGAAAGTTACAGAAAATCTTTATAATTGTAATTTTATATTGCAGGTAGTATTATCTTATATTATCTAAACAACAAAAAACAAGGGTAGGTCTAATCCCCCGTCTAAAGAAATGACGTTTAGATTATCGTTTGTATTTAATAAAATAAAATAAAAGATTAAGCAATGTTTAATTTTAGGCCAGATAAAAAACAGCATTTACTCTCCGAGTCTAGTTAATTATAATTTGTTTCATCCTTGAATTAATTGAACTGATCAGATAAGCCACCATCAGGCTGTTCTCTGACCTTGTATTAAAATTCTGGGCCCCAATAATGTAATTTAATATCCGAACTACCTCATGTACTGATCTCATCAGTACTGGGATACTGGATAGGACACCTCATGCATGACTACAGCCAGGGACACCTTCTTATTATAATGACAATTGCGTTTTAGTTGGATCTACTCTATTTATCAAATTCAATTCAAGCGGATTTGGAGAGTTGTTTGTCTGTCACGATTGTTGTCTCCCCACTCGAATTATATTATCTCAGCCTTCAAATATATCATAGTAACCAGGATGTGATGATTTAATCAGCTCACTGATTATATCTAAAATATTTGGAAAATTATTTAAAATTGAAAACATTTTTGCTCGCCACTCTTAATTGGTGGAAAGTGGCCACTACATTAATAGTCTGTCAATGAATATAATTTTTCAGATCTGTGTAAACATATAGATTAAATCACACTCGTACAGGAAATATGGTTTCTTTAAAGTTCGTATTGGATAATGGGACTCCAAAAAAAAAAAATAAATTAATGTAAGCGAGATTCGTGTGTTTTGAACAAATACTTTTAAAAGGATATAACAATTGGCCGGTGCTATCATGCGCTCACCCTCTCTTCTATTTAAGTGCAAGGACCTAAGTAGTTTTTTTCAACATCAATTTGCAGTCTAGCAACAAGTACACTCCATCCTCCTATCCTATTATTTACGTTAACTTCATTTTGTGAAAATGTCTAGCAATCATGGTAAGGTAGAGACTGATGTTGAAATCAAGGCTCCTGCTACCAAGTTCCATGAAGTTTTCACACACAGACCACACCACATATCCAATGTCAGCTCTAACAACATTCAGGGTTGTGATTTACATGAAGGTGAATGGGGAACCGTCGGCTCTGTGGTCTACTGGAATTATTTCCATGGTAAGTAAAGCCTCCCTATAGCTTCAGTTGACATCAATTATATTATATATTATGTTCATGTCGTTTGATGTTAATTTCTTTCTTCAACAAAACTGGTTGATTATTGTTTCTTCTTTTCTTTTCTTTTTTGGTGAAAAAATTTATAGAAAAATTGATATAGATCCAAATTCGTATTGAGGAGTTGAGTTTAATCCTCTGATTTGGTAACTTTGATCCAAGTCCTTTGACTTTTGTGCCACATAGAATTACATTCTTTTTTAAATATTTTTTTATGTAATATTTTTATTATTTTATTTTTAAAATCATTTTTTGTTCCCATGTTGCCCCTTATGACTTGGATCGGGTAATAATCATTTATATCATATTGCCTATTGCATAGGTATATATATGTTTTTTCATATTTTCGACAATGTGTAGTAGTATTTTATGTACCTTTTTCTTTTAAAATAGGTAACGTACAATTTTATTTTATCTATTTTTGTATCTGACTTATAGGTAGTCTTCTAATTTATGTTCATAACTTATAGGTAACATAATTTATCACTAAGTATTTTTCATTGCAAATAATAACACTATTTACCCGTATGTTAGATACATAATTTAATATGGGTGCTTGTCTGATCGATTGGTATAATTTGTGAGTCTTTGCTTTTTATTGATTCAATTTTATTTTATCCATATATTAAGAATATTATCAAGGAAAAAATTCAAAATTTAAATTTTGGAATTCAATTACAAGGAAATGATGCTTTAAATTTAGATTTTTCAATGTGTTTTCCTTATTTACCTCAAAGGGTAAAATCGACACAAAAAAAAAATGTCAAAGGACCTACATCTAAAACCAAAAACATGAGGACTAAACTCAATGACAGCTAATTGTTTTGGACCTAGATCTAAGAAGCCCAAAAATTTATTAATTGTTACGCAGATGGGAAAGCTAAAGTTGCCAAGGAGTTGATTGAAGCCATAGACGCTGAAAAGAATCTGATCACTTTCAAAGTGATTGAAGGAGATCTGCTGGAGCATTACAAGAGCTTCAAGATCACCATTCACGCCACTCCAAAAGCTCATGGTCAAGGCAGCATCGTTCATTGGACTATGGAGTATGAGAAGCATCATGGTGATATTGAGGACCCACATACCTTGCTCCAGTTTGCAGTGGATGTGTCCAAAGATGTCGACGCTCATCTTACAAGTGCCCAGGCATAATTAATTATAATCAAAGGCTTGATTGAGGCGGGCTTGTAGGATCATCTGTGATTCTGTGTGCTTCCTATATATCTACCATCCATTTGCTTTCTTGCTTGCAGAAATAAACGCCTTCAATCAATGTTTGTATCTTAAGCCTGAAACTTTCATTTACTTGTGTTTGCCGTCCTTATCTTATATGATATGGGCTATGTATCTTTTATTAATTCCAAGTTGGGGCTTCCTCAATTGATCTAGCGACTCAAGTTCAAAATTTTCTTCTCTTGTTAATTTAAAAATAAATATATGTAACGTCTCTCATCCACTTATCCAGGGACGGACCCATTCCCAAGCTAACCTGGCTATAGCCCAGGTGTCTTGATTTGTTTTAGCCTATAGAAATACTCCTAGCCCACCTAAGCAAACCCCACACACCCTCTTGCTCAGTACCTTAGCTAATGCACAGAGAGAAAAAAAAATATATATATATATATATATATATGAAGAAAGGGCCAATCAACCATGCCCTTCAATGCTTAATTATAGCAAACCAAATTTATCTTCAATTATTAATCTTCTTTGATTGTCTTAATTTGTTGATGTTGAAATTTGGGGACTTTTTAGAGTTTATGAAGTATCAATTAGGGATTTATAATTTTTTATTTAAAAGAATTCTATGTAATTTTTTTTTCTACTTGGCCAAAACATTTGATTGTACAGGTTTTGTAATTAAAAATAAACAAATGAAAGTAGGTCAGCCCTTTATAGTCCCCTAAAATTCCAATATATTTTTAATTATAGTCATTCATGTTTTACGCCATAAAACTTTAATCCTAAAAATTTCTTCATTTTTGGAAACAAAAAAAATAGCTTCTACATTTGTAATTGTTTAATTAGTATGAGTTTATTTCTTTTGTCGGTTAGTGTGAGTTTTTGTTTTGGTTAATTAATATAGGTTTTGTGTTTTCAAAAAATTGGAAATCAATCCCATTGATTATGTTCCTCCCTTCAAGGCTTGAATGTAAGCTAAATCTAGCCCATCCTAATTTGAAATCCTGGATCCGTCCTTGCACTCATCATGGGCGAGACACTATGTTGCACCAATACAGATACATATACAGTGATACAATACGATATAATACGCCGATACGGAAAATCTCCAAAAACTATAATACGGGTACGGCACCGATACAACAATTAAAATAATAAAATAGAAAAATTGATATTTCATCCATACTATAATATATATATATATATATATATATATATATACAAAACAATTAGTAGGCTACTAGACAGCTATTTCCAAAATAATAGTCCATTTCACCCAACTTCACAAATATTTACCCATATACCAAATTAACCACACAATAGCTTATTAAAGAATATACAGTCATCCCCACCCCAATATTACCAATTATCTAATTAATAACACAGCAACTTATTAAAAGAATAAGAAGAAAACCTTGACCTGCGTAAGAAACCCACCCAATCAAATGAATCTGAGATGGAGATGAAGAAAACCTTGACCTGCATAAGAAACCCACCCAACCAAATGAATCTGAGATGGAGATGGAGATGGCGACGGCGATGGGGGCCACGGCGATTTCTGGTGGGTTCTCTCTTCCTTCTTTCTCCTCCTTCTTCTATTTTGGTTGTTGTTTGAATCGCCCAAAAGACCTAGCCTCTTGATAGGGGCAGTGTTTAAAATTCTAAGTTTTAAGTTTACATTTTAACCCCAAATATTCAATAACTTTCAAAATCACCCCCAAATTACCCCTTGACGTATCAGTGTCATATCGCAAGCGTATCGTGACCATATTGAGGGAGTATCAGAGCCGTATCGTAAAGTCAACATGCTAGAAAAGTCTACGATATGCCACGTGGAGTATCTAATACGTATCAATGCCATATAGGATACGAGCATACCCCCAAAAACTACCATATCAGTGCAACAGAGGCGAGACATAATTTGTGCGATTTTATGTAAAACCTATATCTTTCTAATATGAGAGAATAGGAACCCACAACCCCTACAAACCAAATGAAAAATAGAGTTAGATTATGGAGACAAGATAAGACCGACCTTATATATATATATATATATATATATATATATGAGAGTAAGTTATCAAGACAGAATTATTACGGAGAAAGATAGATGTAGCCTTGCAATCACCAGCAGCCACCAACCCATGCGACTGGAGCCTTGCAGCAGCCAGCAACTTATGCATAGCCGCTGCTTCTTTGCCGCGCAACTCCACCATTAGAATGCAGTAGCAGCCGGGCCATACGACTACCGGAATTACAGCACAACCGAAAGACCCCATGGCCTCCTCCTTCACCTTGCGACCGCCTCCCATGACGGTACCGCCATTCACGGCTATCTCAACACCATCCCGGTCTTGGAACAAATCCATCCAATCTCCCATTTTGTCACACTTGGCGTATGCACCCGTGTACGCGTCCAATAAAGCCCTAGTCCATATCCCTTTGGGCCTAATACACGCCACTCTTCCCGAGTTATGCAGTCAAGTAGACCTTAACTCGCTAGTTGATCAACTCACACAGAGGGTCGATGACCAAAATAATTTGATTGGCCAGCTACTTAGGCATATCAACTTAGATCAAGGCCTTGACCTTGGGTCCCTGGACAAAGAGAGGAGGAAACACGAGCACATCGGCTCACAATTCGAAAGGTCCTAGGTCGGTCGGACAAAGACAAACGGGCAAGGGAGAGAACGAGATCGTGTTGATGAGACGCAGACATCTGCAAGCCGTACTCTAAGTCGGTCGATGATCTGTTCGAGGTTAGGTCTAATGACCAATGTGTACGAGAGGCTGGCCCATAGTCCGATGTCCACACTCGTTTGGGCCTACTAGGAAGTATTTGTTCTAAGCTGGGCATGCAAGGAGCTGGAGTTTGTGAACGTTTGCATATGAACGCAACGACCGACGCTCACCAACCCACTCGAGAACCAACTCACGGGAACGAGCCGTTGAGGAACCCTTACAAGGTCAATCTACCAATCGCCCAGCAGGCAAGACAACCAAGGGGGTTGACCCTTGGAGGCTGAGGAGAAAGTTAACCAACGGCGTCTGAGGCACAAAAGATGTCGAGAGGCTTGTGAATGACCGACTCCAAAGTCTCCAACTTAAAAGAATCACGGAGGAGGCTTTGCGCAGGGAAGTTGATCAAGTCAACTCATCGCCCTTCACCGACAAGGTGGAGTAGGCCACACATTCGAAATGGTTCACAACACCGTCCATCTCTCCATTCAAGGGGGACTTTAACCCTGAGAGCCATTTGAAGTACTTTAAGAGTGTTATGATCCTGTACAAGGCAGATGACGCCCAAATGTGCAAGGTGTTTACAATGCCCTTGCGAGGAGCAGCTTAGGATTGTTTCCGCACTACAAGAAAACTGGATATTTACAGCATGCCATTTATGACATGCATAGTTTGCACGCCGTAAAAGACTACTTTTTGTGGCATGCAAATTTCGTGCGTAATAAATGAGATTTCCCCTTCCTTTGTTATGACGTGCTTTTATTGCATGCCGTAATTTTTGGGTATTTAGGGCGTGCAAAATATGCACGCCGTGAAAAAAAGACTACATTAATGGCGTGCAAAACATGCATGCCGTGAAACGCCCCTCATTTAATTTTTGTTGCCCGTGAAAACACTTCTTTTTCCCTCTTAGAATTTTCATATTTCAGAATACTCTCCCCCAACTTTTCGTGTAGCATTCTTTTCTTCTTCCCCATATTTCTCCCTCTTTCTCTCTCACCCTAAACTCACTCTCACTCACTCTCTCTCTAACCCAAAACCCTCTCTAGCTACGATTCTCTCTAACTCCAAACCATCTATCATTCTTTCTCATCTAGAAATTCTCTTGATTCCCAAACCCTTTCTCGACTGCAATCTCAAGGTAACCCTAACTCTCTCTATCGCCCTTTTATTTTCCAAATTTTATCAAAACGTTCTTTCAATTTAGCTTTGTGGAACCTCACGACTGCACTCTCAAGTTGGTTTTATTAAATTTTATGGAACCTTACTGGGTATGAAGTTCGAAATTCTTTCAATTATTTCAATTAATGTGCAGGTATTACAAAGTTTCAAATTCTTTCAGAAGTTTAATTTAGATTTAGATTTTTTTATTTATTTAAATTTTGCAGAATCTAATGGTGCCTTGGTTTGTTTTTAGAAGAAGTGCCATGTGATTGGTTGAAGATGTAGAAAAAGTTGGGTGAGAGGTAAAAGTCAGCTCGTTATACACTTGTACACTTATACACTTATTTTTAATTTTGTTTTATTTATTTTTCTGCTCAGTTCAATTTTTCTTTTTCAAACCAGATTTGAGACCTCTTGTTGGGTTCTCTAATCTCAGCCACCCACTTCACCTATTTTCTCCAATATATGTTCCTTTGGTACATGTAAGTATATACTTAATTCACTTGCATTTAGTTATGTTTCTTTAGTTAGGAAATGGTGGTGATTGTGATTAATTTTCTCCTTATTTTGGTATAGCCATTGAATTGACTAATTTGCGTTTGAAATTGAAGAGAAGCTATTCAATTGGGATGGTATTGGAGTGGAAGAGCCTCTGAAGTTTCTCTTTAGAAGACTAGCTAGAGGTTTGATTTACTTTCTTCCTAATACAGCATAAGTTATAAGCATCTATTACAAAAAGGGATTGACAGATTGACAGACCCAAACCCAATACAAGATTTATGTTAATTATTCATATAAGATTATATACTTGTTTTTAAGATTGTTCAGAAGTCTTTTGGGTAGAAGTTGTTAAGTTTCAGTTACCCATGTTGACTGTTAATTTTGCATAGGTTGTGGGTTAGTTTTGAGGTATAAGTACTTGGTTTTAAACTATACATATTCAAGATTGTAATTTGGTTGAAGTTTGATACCTAAGTTTGGTAAGCATAACTACAAAATCTGTCAAAAATAGGGCCTGCAGTTTCAGTTTTGAAACACTTACTTCGGACTGCATTATCTTATAAATTAGAGCACTGTTTCTGTCAAATTTTATATGGTTATAAAGTTTATTTAATCAGCTTCAGGATGCATGTAAATTGGTAGATTTTTATTGAGTTTAGGGCGTTTAATTCTGAACAGTAGCTGAAATTGCGTTAGTTTCTCTGGTGGTGCAGGAGCAACAACAGTTTCCTAACAGCTCATCATGTCAAGACATAAGTTGGTGGTTCAGTTGCTGAAAGGATATTTGGAAGCAACAACAAAAACATAGCCGGATAATTGGACAACCAGCTGATGGTATCCCTGCTGCACAGTTTGAGCATAGGTTAGATGTGGTTTGATGTGTTAGAGATTGATTTTTGTTATTATATTCATGAATGAATGGGTTGGAGAGATTATGAACAAGTTAATTATAGGTTTAGCAGCACTTTTATGTGTTTCTTTTATACTCTAAAGAGTTCGTATTTGGAATTGATTATGATTGGTATAGGTTCTCTTTTTAAGTTTGGTTGCAATACCATTGTTTTTTTTTTCCAGGTTAATAAAGTCAAAGCCGTAATAACTCTTTTATGGCGCGTAAGGCATGCCATAAATAGTTGTCCAAAGCTCAATCATGGCGTGCATTATTAATGCTTGCGGCAAGCGAATGCACGCAGTAAAAGAAAAATACATTTTACTGCACGACCTTTTATGGCACACAACGGCATGTCGTGAATTGTCATTTACAACGTGCACCACACGCCGTAAATACCCAGTTTTCTTGTAGTACCACACTCTACCGTCTACATTAATCGGCAACTTCAAGGAGTTTGCCCTCATTTTCACGAAGGAGTACATCTCCTACTGGATGGTCAGAAAACAACCAGACCATTTGTTTAACCTGCACAAGAAGCCTTACAAGTCTCTACGAAACTATATTCAAGGCTGAGAAGGCAAACATCATAGGATAGGATGCGATGATCTAATCGCATCCTTAGCTTTCAAGAAAGGCTTGCTAGCCGAGCACGAGCTATACCATGAGTTTACCATCATTCCGAGCCAAACCGTAGCAGAAGTCTTCGCTATGGCAAAGCCCTACGAACTTTGAGATGACGATTGTATCGCCACAAAGAAAGTAAGCAAGCAAGTTGATCAACTGACTAGGTAGGTGAGTCAAAAGAATGACAAGTTCTACAACAAGAACAAGGACAAGCTCATATTGCAGCCCTAAGGAGGAGTCCCAACAGCAGAAACCTTTACTAAGTTCACTATCCCGATTCACCAGATTCTGGCACAAGTGAAGGATAAGCCTTGGGTAAAAAGACCGCCGCTTTAGAAGGAAGACCTAGCTAAAAAGGACACCAGTGCGCATTCCATGGAGAGCATGGTCATTACACAAACAGCCGCTTCGCCTAAAAAAGCATCTCGAAGAGCTGATCAGAGATGGCCACTGCACGTAATTCATTGCAAAGAAGGTCATCTAGCAAATCGAGAACCGTGACGTAGCTGCCAAAAAACCTCCCCAAAAGATCATATGGATCAACACGATCCTAGCCGACTCCCAGGAGTTCAGGCTGACCACTAGGGAGTGAAAGCGAAAGATCAAGTAGGCGACCGTTGTCTCCTAAGTCATAGCTGGCAACCCAGCCGTTGAGGACACTCCTATCATTGGCTTTTAGAAGAAGGATCTAATCGGGTTTGATCTACCAAACAATGATGCCCTCGTCATCTACATCCAGATTGAACAAGCTATGATCAAGTTAGTTCACGTGGATGAAGGCAGTGCGGCCAACATCCTACAGTTGTCAGTTGTTCAGCAGATATGATTGGAGCCCAAGATCAACACTTTCCAAATCGCTCACCGGCTTTAATGGGGCGACATCGATCATTATGGGTATGATAGACCTTGACATCCATTCACCACCAGTAGTTTGCTCGTAGACTTTCATGGTCATTGACGAGGTTTCCCCTACAACGGAATCCTGGGCCGACCATGGATCAACAAGATTAAAGCCGTCACATCCACTTCACACCAGAAGATCCACTACCCCATCCTCGGGGATGAAATCATGTAGATCAACAGTCATCAAGCCATGGCAAGGAGATGCACAGCCCAAGGCCTAAAGAAGAGCAAACAGTTACAATTCACACTGGTGATGCAAACTACCGACGAAGCAGGTCGCGCTCCCGACGGACAAGCAAACCTGAAAGGAAAATGAGTTGTCACCTCCCAATAGCAACTAAGAAGCCATGATCAAGACGAGAGAATCCGCCCGGAAGACTCCTTTGATTAAGGTTGGAAGCCTGAGGAAGACGTTGAGTTAGTACCCCTTGATCCTGACCAGCCAGACAAAAAAGCGAGGATCGGCTCACGCCTAAGCCTAGACGATAAGGTGGAGCTAACTACCTTTATCCAAAACAACAAAGACATGTTTGCATGGTCACCATCTGACATGCCTGG